TTTTCCCCCCCTCTCCCTTCTAATGTTGACCATTCCATTTTCCATGGTCACATTATCTCTTTTATACAGACCTTTCTAAGCTGTGGGCCTTATTTCTTGTGTAGGCTTTGCTTGCTTCAGAGCATTTCTGGAGAATGTTAACCAGAATGACCATCGTTTGAAAAAGACAGGGAACACCTACACAGTTGAGAAGATGGACCTTGTAGGTCTTGATTACCTGTGGAGAGTAGTGCTTGAAATACCATCGGAGGAAATAGCCATGTTGGCTGTCAAACAACTCATGGAACTTAGTTACACCTGGCTGTCTTCAAAGTTGAAGAAGGTAAATGTGAGCTAAGCCTGTGGCTAACTTTAAAAAAGATGTTTCATACCTGCCTGCCTTAACAGGGCTGTGCCAGGAAATCTCATAAGTAAGTGTAATGTATATATTCTATTTTCAGGACCCTGTTAACAGTCACAAGAAATTTATTTTGGAGTGTTACAAACGTCTTGAAGTAAGTAATTTCCCTTTGACAGTTCCTTTAGTTTTACTTGGACTAGTTATCTTTTTATCTTCTTTTCTTGTGCCAGCACTCTTTGAAAACTCAGGAACCAAAATGTTTGGGTTACCTGATCTTTCCAGGAGACCAGAGCTGTTCTACCTCTGTATCATTCTTTATTACTGTCTTATACATGCACCTGAGATACATTTTTTGTAAATTTCATAAATTTTTGACAAACTAAAGTTTTTGTGCTGTACTTAAATTTAACAGACAATGATGTCTGGCCTTGGACACACATCGCTGACCCATGCAGCTTGCATTGCAACCACTGCAGCTACAGCTCCAATAACACCAGATGTGCCTCTCTCTCCTGTGCCAAGGTATAGCATTTTAGTAACTAAGGAAAATAAGTTTCAGACAACAAGAGGCTTATGTGAGCATCTATGATACTGATTGGCAGTCAGGGCTAATGTCTTTTGTGATCAGAGGGATCAGATCTAGAGCAACCGGGTGGTCCATAAGTGCTAGTCCAATAAAAATACAATGTAGCTCATCGCTGCTGGTCAAATGGCTCACCAATGCTAGCCAGATAATTTATCAATGTTGGCTAGCCAGGATCATGGCTCATCTTTGGTGGTTAGATGACTCGTCAATGTTGGCCAATGACTCGTCAGTGCTGGCCACATGGCTCATTCATGCTAGGCAGATATCACATAAGTGCTGCTCGGATGGGTATTCAGTTCTGCCAGGCGGCTCATCAGTGCCAGTCAGATGGCATATTAGTGCTGGCCAGATGACTTATCAGCACTGGCCACATGGCTTGTCAGATGCCTCTGTTTTTAATTAGATGACTTAGATGACTCAGTGCAAGTTGCATGGCCTATTGATACTAGTCAGGTGATTCATAAGTGCCAGATAGCTCATTGGTGCTGGCCGGTAGAGTAGGCTTCCATGAGTTACTGGTTCCAGCCAGATTAGAGTCGGCCAGATGAGTGCTGGTCTAGTCATCTGTGCTACTCAGGTGGCTCAGTAGTACTTGTCAGTTAGCTCATCAGGGCAGGTGGGTCATTGAGTGTTGGCCATCAGATCATTCTTTGGTTCTGGCGAGTTAGCTTATCAGTACTGATGAGATGTTTCAGTTGTACCTACAGCAGTATAGTCAGATGTGGCTCATTAGTAATGGTCAGATTACTCATCAGTACCAGTTAGTTGGCTTATCAAACGAGTATAGGGCAGTATTGAGTTTAGCCCAGATACATGTAGTTCATTAGTGCTGGCCAGGTGCCTGGCTCTTTAGTGTTGGCCATATGGCTTTTCATGACTGGCCACATGGCTGATTGATCAGTGCTAGTCAGATTTCTCAGGTGTACTGGTAAGTTCACTCATCAGTGCTAGACAGATAGCTTGTCAATGACAGATGGCTCATTAGTCATGGCCAAATGGCTGATCAGTGCTGGGCAGATGGCTCATTAATGTTAGACAGATGGCTCATTAGCACTGGCCAAATGGTTCATGAGTACTGGCCAAATGGCTCATTAATGCAAGACAGGTGGCTCATTAGTGCTGGTGAGATGGCTTACAAAATGTATCAGTGCTGACCAAAT